TTTCCTACATAAATTATATGAAGCATGTGAATACATTTTTATAAACTTTATATTTACATGACTATAATTCTGTTAAAAAAATCACATGGGAGTATAAAGCTTTGAAGGCGTAGCAGAGGAAGACTTCTCATTAGCCTTTCTCCAGTTTAAAGGAATATTATAGCGTTAGGAATACAAAGCTATTCCTAACAGTATAGTGTTCTATTACCAATCTTGGTGTCCCCTACCCTCTTGCAAGGGTTGAAAAGGTAAGTTTTACTTGCCTTACACCCCGATCTCCTCACTGCTGTTCCGCCAATGTTGATGATCTCCGCCAATCCAATTCCTCCAAAGCATTGGGAGGCTAGTGCGCATGCATGATAAAACGCCCCACTTTGTCAACCAAATGCTCTCAATAAAAGTCATTTGAGCCATATAAATAGCTGCAGAAGCACCTCTGCACCTTACAGACAGTCACTAGAGGCGTGTTAACCATGCAATTAAAACCTCCTGCAAAACAGCAATATTTTCACTTGCAAGGTTAAACAGACAAGGGCATTATTGAGATGAAGTGGTCTGGTACCTATACAAATATGTCTTTCTACTTGCATTGTAGTTAAAAACAACATTGGGTTATATTACTATTGCTGCAAACAAGGACCAATTAACTACGGCTCAAAATAATGGTATGATAGCAAGAAGCAAAACGTCCCAATTCCTGTAATGTAGGGACAGTATGATGACTGTGCATGATTCAAAGGCAGCTCAGGCACCCATACAGGTTAGGTGCAGTTAGGCTCATTGCTGTTTTTTGTTTGTTTGTTTGTTTTTTTTTCATGTTTTTTGTTTTTTACATCAGAAATTGGTATTTAATTTGTATTTTCTTAGTCTTTAAGAACGTTGATATCAAATACCAAATCATCTCTAGTTTTTTTCTAATTCCATAATATCTCTAAGTATTGTGCAGTACTCGATAACATTATACCATTCCTAGGTAATTTTATTTTGACTGAAATAACTAAAATCTTGTGAAATTCCCCAGCATTCATTCCTAATCCGTGTGCTCTCGATATTTAATTACGCAAAGACGTAGGATCAATCTTTCTCATTTATTTATCCATCTAAATAATCCATTTACACTATAGGACACTGTGGGGATGGGGGAAAACCTTCTAGGTCAACACTGTAAAATCACCATTCACCAAGGGCTCCCATATGCTATGATATACCTCAAGGTTACCTAGGTTAGTAAATACAGCTTTTTCCATCATACTTTGATAATTCACCTGAGTTTGGATCTCAGTCCAACAGGGGATTATAGTTATATTACAGCGTCTAGTGATGCATATCTTTACTGCCATTAAAATTTGTATTGCGAGCATATGAAAAAAATTATTATTATTAGGTAGATCTAGATCAGGGGTAGGCAACCTACGGCACTCGAGGTGTCTTTGCACGGCACTCAAGGTTGCTAGAGCCAAACACACTCTGGCCTATCAGGAGTCCCAGTAAAACTTCAGATATCTGCTAATACGAAGAGGTGGTGAAGGACAATCCTCAATTTATGCATTGCAGCACATAGAGGAAGTGATCTCTGATCACTTCCTCCCAGCACTTGTGAATGGGAATCCACACACTGCTAGATTTACACAGAGCTGCAGAATAACCCTCCCCTCATACAAATAATATGAACAGCCTACACATACACACAAACACACACAGTCCCCACAAACGCACCACCAGTAACATTCCATATACATGCACACAACCCCACATGCAGCCTCTCACATGCAATACCCCTAACAGCCCAACACATAAACACAACACCAAATACACAATGTGACAAATCCATCCACATACACAAGTCCACAAGCAGCCCTCATACACAGCCCACATTCATATGTATCATACACGATACCATAAACTACTAATGAACATATACAATATAATAGCTCATATACGCACAAATACAATGATACAAAGCAATTACAGTAAAAAATAACACAAGCAGAATACAGCAGCATACACACCTCAATTTTAAAAAATAGGACCGGCACGCTACGGGACATCACAATCCTATATCGGCACAGTGCTGCTAAAAGGTTGCCTAACCCTGATCTAGATCATGGGTCTCAAACTCAACCCCCCCCCTCAGATGTTGCTGAACTACAACTCCCATGATTCTCTGGCTATCTATGTAATTCAAAGAATCATGGGAGTTGTAGTTCAGCAACATCTGGGGGGCCGGAGTTTGAGGACCCATGATCTAGATGGAAAAGAGATTTAGGAGAGGTTATTCAAAGCTCATTACTGTTTTCAAGCTCTGTCTGATAACAATTACAGTGTCATTTAACAAAGTGTGCATTGTTGGTAACTCTACGAAATTTTAACATTTACGGCTAAATTAATAACTGTTACGTACCGGAACTGAAAACATACCTAATTTGGAGCATTTCTACAATTCAGCTATTTTGGCCTGACATTTAAAATTCACGTTGATTTCACTTTGTATTCCCAACAATTCAAATTCTAGTGAATGACCCTAACAGCAACTTATTAGGAAAAAAAAAGTCCAAGTTTCTCCAACTCAGCTTCAGTTACATCTTGGTTATTTTAGCCTGAACTTTTGTAGTTTGATTTTTTGAAATGACACTGGCATATTCTCAGTACACATTCCATGTAATTGTATTTTTCATGTACAATAAACTTGTTAACCCTTTAGAGAATTTTGAAAATATGTTAAGATATATATTCTAAAAGTACTGGACTTAAATTAAATGTTCACTTTCTGAGCCAGAAAAAAAACCAAACGGACGCATTTGTTGATCATTATTTGTTCTAGAAGCATAACTTTGCAGCCTTCTTAGCCTCACACGGAGTTAGCTGAAAATATAGGTAAAGGCTGGATACATATTGACAAGACTGTGATCTGGATGAAAATAAATCAAAATAAAGAATCGAAGAGTCTACACTTCCAACAACTATGAAACATGATTAGATAGATAGATAGATAGATAGATAGATGATGGATAGATAGATAGATAGAATAGATAGATAGATAGATAGATAGATAGATAGATAGATAGATAGATAGATAGATAGATAGATAGATAGATAGATAGATAGATGTGCCTGTATGTATATGTTTGGCTGATAAAGGGTTAGTTCCAGGTGCAACTTGTTCCATTCATTCATGTTTTTAAATCTTTGTCTAAATGAGAGATTTACACGATGGTTCCAGCTGGATAAAGAATGGGCTTTAAGTTGATATTTAAATATACATGTTTACCTGATGACTTAAAATAAAGAGCAGCAAAAACTATTTGCTGTATGGATAAGATGTACCTAGCACTGGCTTTTGTTCTATTTATCTTAATATTTTAATGCCGTTATGAAAGTTGCACTCATCAAGGAATTGTCATTTTTATTTATTTATTTTTAATAAATGCCAGACTTTAATGTAATTTTGCATAATTGTAAGTAAAGTCCATTTTGCAATTTGTATTGGAGTGAACCCAAGCTGTACAATAGATTTCTTAATGCATTTTCTCTGACTTTCATTATTGCGCTAATAATTATTTCAGTCATTTATGAAAATGTAAGTTATTTGGCTTGAGATGGATTGCTTCAACCCTTCATGTGCCAAAGAGGTGAATCGCATTAATCTGTTTTTCATTCCCTCTGGGTGGGGGGGAAATTAGCTCTCTGCCTGTGTTGATATTAATGACACTATATTATTTTTTTATGAAGTGCTTACATATTTCACATAAATGTACAATGGATAAGTAATATATAAAAATTATTTTGATACAGCGACAAGAAGTGACAAAGGCACAGTTTAAGCACCTTGACATCTATTCTATATTCTAATACAGGTTTATGGTATATCTTGGAATAATTTCTCCTACGTTGGCCCATGTATATTATCTCTTTCACAGCTAGAAATGAGCCATCACTCATGCTGTCATTAACTATTCATGTTGGTGTTCTTGGTGATCAGCAATAAATAGGCTATATGGTCCTTTCAGACTATTAACCAAATATGAGCCTTATCGTGCACTAATTACGCAGGTTCTTTTAATACATTAGCATTAAACACAGCAACCCAACAGATCTAAGATGCATTATGTATCCTAAGTAATTGAACACGCTCTCAAACTTGTACAGCAGAGAATAGAGGGGATACCTTCATCTTCACAAGTGATTTTCAATTTGCCATAGACAAGCAGGTGTCCCTACTGCATCAATGTAAATTAGCGACTAGGTCACTGTTTCTGTAATGGCTGTTATGAAGGAAAGAAAGCCATTTGAACCACCAAGATTCACTAGCTGTCATACAACATGAATTAAAAAGAAAGGTTTATTCACTTATCACTGGATTGCAGGAAAACAAATTTGAAAAATATATAATAGACAGATATAGCCCACCTACCTCCGTAAATGTATTGGAGAAATGTTGCAATTGTGTGTTTCTATTTGCTACAATGTATTATTTAATGAATGGACCTCACCATGAGATACCTGGTATCAATTAATGGTGTTGGGTTGTTGTTTTTTTTTTTGTTGTTTTTTTTTTATAAAACCAAAGATCATGGAGAATTTTAAAACAAAATGTAAATTTTGAGCCACAAAAGAAAAATTTAAACCATTTTCCATTGTGCCTATTTTTCCAGCTCAGCTAGAGATTCCTAAAATGTGCTTTTCATATGCCAATTCTACACAAGTCCAGGTTAGTGAATACGCACCCCCACTGCAGTACACTTGGCTTTGTTGCAATTAATATAATCTACATGTCATGGTGTGACCTGAATTAGCACATATTTTAACAGGGATGCAATAAGAAAGCCTGCATCACGACTCTGCTATTACAAGACAAATTAGAGACCGCAGAGGCCTTTAATTAAGTCCCCCACCTCAATCTATCATGTCTTAAACACTCATGTCTGCATTTATGGATACAATTCAAAAACATGCAAAAAGAAAAATCATTAACATACTCTGGATACAATTAATCTTGAAGAAACATTTACAAAGTTTTTATTTTTTATTTTTATTAGTTTGTATCAACAGAAGTGAAAACTTTGGTTTCATTTGATTCTGTGTCTATGAAACGTACAATGCAAGTTATTTAAATAAGATAGACAACACACATCGAATTATGATGCTCCACTGAAGACCAGAGGGGTCATCCATGCATTCATTTTTACTTTGTAACACTGCTACCCCTTCTCTATCTCATTTGGCATTCAAAAAGTTAAACATGACAGTTACACAATTTTTTTTACATTTTTTTTTAAAAAAGCATTTCCCAGGGATGAATTTTATCAAACTGTTACAATTTTTAATTTACAAAGAATGTGAAAATACATGCAGTGAATATTTAGCAAAATGTATCTGTGCATAATTAAATCACAGAGAAGAAACATCCTCCTTTCTGCACTGATACAAAAATGGTAATTCAATCTAATACAAAACATTGGGGGAAAAGGACAGATTTCAGACGAATAAAAATATGTTCTTTTAATACTCTTGTATATATAAAAAAAAAGTATGTGACAGATAACGACAGTAACTGCTTCTAACATGATTGCAGGAAAATTAAGCAGCTTAAATAATTTATTAAAGTTTCACCTTAACAATTAAAGTTACTGGCATTTTCCCAACATCAGATAATAATCTGCATTAATTTGCTTAACACTGTCAGTGGCGGAGGGGTGTGAGCAAAACATAACCTCCTGGAGCACTGGAAGGGTTAAATGAAGTAGATACAATTTTAGATGTAGCAGTGGTTTCCTTTGGTTACAAGCAAGTAGTGACTGCTTTTGGGGCATTTGTGGGTCACTGACAAGAGTGACAGAGAAAGAGATTTTTCTATTCAAAATTTCCAGGTTAAAATAGAAAAAAAATAAAAAATAAACAGACAGAGTATAGAAATCACTGATGTATCACATGCAATGAGAGAGAACTATAATAAAAAAATAAAAAGATATATAAAATGGAACACCAGATTAACCAAATGAACAATAATTACTCTTTCTGTAGAACACCCAGGCAGATTTTAATAGTATTATAAGAATAGGATGCCAATTACCATACTTGGCCATATTTGTACGCTCAATTAATATTTAAAAAAAAAAAATTTTTTCAAAAGGTATATTGTGTCACATTATTGCAGCGTATTTTAAATAAAAAAACAAACACTGTAGGAGTGCAATGGGTTAAATAAAATTAATATGAATGGCCATATGATAAATGATGTATTTTTATTGTTTCATTAGAATGTATTTTTTATTTGTATTTCTATAGTCAGTAGCAGCCAAGCCTTTACGCCAGAGAACACACAAAAAAAAAAAAAAATGTAGATATATTAGAATTCTTTTAAATCGTTTAGCTATTTCTACATTAATATTTGAGCCCATGATAAATTTTCTGGCCATATATTTCTGGTAATGGAAATAAGAAAAAAAAAATACCTTCAAGAAAATAGGAGACTACATTATGTACATCCTGCAAGGGCCCTTTAGAAATGTGATAATGGGTAATAATACTGCAACATGGTCACAGGTTTCATATAGCCATCTCATATTAGGCTTTTTATACAGATACAACCTCTTCCCCAGATTGTTAAATGACAGGTTAACTCTTCAAGTACCACAAAGATGAGCAATAGTAGACATTTAAACAATTTTTTAGAACCTGGAAATTTTGAATATATGCTGTAAGGGTTATGGATTATAATTGAATCCTTTTTGAAATTTTTTGTATTTTGAACCAAATTAATTATTCATGGTGTGTCAATTATTGTAACATTTTTTCAATAAAAGCGTGCTATGTGGATTTACTAATTTATCTGAATGCATTTGGCCAGAGACAGTTTAATGTCCATAAACAATAGCCCATGCAATCATGCAGACCTATTAATGTCAGAGCCAAGTTAGTGAATAGACATAATTAATGTTTTAATCAAATCTCAAATAATTAGCAAATTTATTTATTATACATATATGAATTAAACCCATTACCCCATGATTAAAAAAAAAAAAGATAAAAGAAAAAAAAATCACACATTCATATTTACACAAAATATTTAATTAAAAATACTTCATAATTACAGTAGTCTATTAAAGCATATACTTTATCACTTACACGTATAGAACATCTCTATATATACAGTATGAAATGTCACTTGCTTTTTTTTTTTCTGCTATACAATATGTAACATTCCTGCAGGGAGAATAAAATTCCCTGACCCAATAAAAGCATCTATTTTAAACAATAGATGTACAAAAAAATATCTACAATGCTCTGGTATATTAGTAAAGCTTTTAAATTCAGTTCTTCATTTTATAATCATTTTCTAAACCGCCCCTACCCATCAGTTCTGTGACTTTCAATGTGTCCATAATTCCATGTCCTATCCCATCTTGATGAAACACAATGAATGTGAAAAAGACAGTGTTAAGTGGTATGAGGGTGCACAAAGTGCAAAAGAAATATACTCTCCTTAGTGTATGATAGATGTGTGTTGAGACTTTTTTTTTCTTTTTTTTTTTTTTCTTCTTTTCTTTTTCTTTTGTTTGATGACTGCTTTTTCCTCTCCCCTCCCTTATGCTCTAATTTTTCTCTATATATATTTCTCTCTGCTCCTTCTGGCTTGGGCTCTGACTGCTGCACACCTGTGGAAGAGGAATGAATAGAGGGGGTGTGTGAACCATTCTCACTCCAGACTGACTGGCGCCACCAACAAAACACAAGACATGCTTGATCAACAATCCAAAACAAACCAGGTCAAAACTACAAGCACAGCTCCCAAGCATAGGGACACAGCTGTAGAAGTCTGCTCCAGCCACACTGTGCAAAGGGGTAACCCACTGCCCTCCCCCAACCAGTACATGCTTCATAATACACAGAAATGCCAACCCTATCATAAAAACGTAAAATCCTGCATGGGAATGAAGATATAATCAGAAGCAGTTAACTTCCTCCATCTATACAATTCAATCCGGGAGCACACTCATACATTAACCATTAACCCTTGTTTGGTCAGGGATTATGTATTATTGGGTAAATCATTTGAGAAGCTCATTAAAACCATGTAAGGGGGGTTGGGATAGTAAGACTATAGTGGACATGTAATAGGAGTCCTTGTTAAAAATATCTGGACTGATCTAATGTCATACATTGAATTTATTTGTATATATAATGAGGATCAAATGGTAAGACTCACCTTTATAATACAGTTTAACGACACAATATGCTGTCCCCTTGTTTGTTCACCACGGAGGCAGCCTGTAATATGAAATAGTAAAGTTCAAGATACGATGCAAAATATATAAATACAGTACCACAGCCCATTGTGCCTGCCAAGGACTGGCCACTGATACATTGTTGCAATGGGAAGTCACACTCCAGTGATCAGAATAGAGATACAAAGACAGATCACCCCACTCTGCCTGTCTGCGCCTCATTAAAATCCTGACACACACTCAACTTCCAAGCAATTGGCATGGAGCAGATGACTTAACAGCTCTCTGAATAGGACAGAGGGCGAGGGTGCAGCATGGCTCTTTTTAGAGGGCTGTGAAAGAGGCAATCGCTAAGAAGAATAAGCGTGAATTTACCCCCCCCCATTAAATCTGAAGGTGACTGCAACACATTGCACAGCTTGAAGCGATGTGTAAACAAGAGCAGGAGACAGTAGCTTTACACGGCAGACGGGTGATGGGGTCTGTAGAAAAGGATAGGAGTTGCCCATCATAAGGATATGTGGCCAGCCTGCATCTGGGAGCAAGTCATACCTCTCTAGGGGCCCATCCCTAGACCTGCTGCCCTGCCACTGAAAGCCAGCTCGGGTGACAATACAATACTTCTTTCTAAATGAAGCCATAGCTGGCAAATACTCGCAATTAAAATAGGGGGCAATGACATGAATTGGCATCCTGGGCAAATTGGCACTCACCCAATAATACATACTGGCACCTCCTATACAGTAAGTCTTACACAGCTCTGATAGATGACTAACTGGATCCAGTTTCCACTCAGATGACATTTGCAATGGAAAGGGAGCAATGAGGTAGGTGAGAGCCACTTACCTGATCAGTATTGAGGTCTGTGAGTGGGGTCCTGGCAGGTGGCTGTTGCCTTAACAGCACAGGGTGTGTGTCCAAAGCCAGCTGAAGGTCCAGGATGTAGTCAATAACGTGCTGCAGAATTTCTACTTTACTGACTTTTTTGTTCTGGGGGATGGTGGGGACCAGTCTCTTGAGCCTGCTATAGCAGTCATTCATATCGTACTGCAGGCACTCCTCTTCCATCTTGTAACGAGCTACACTAAGGCTGTGATCAGACAGGCAGTGCACAGCCAGCTCCCCACACACCCCAGTTTTTCGACTATGGGGACGGATTGGGCTCACAGCTTTCATTGCAAGCACCTAAAAGGTAGGGGTGCCTGGGTGGGCTCTGCAGTGGGCACCTAAAACCTACCCTGCAACTGAGCAGCAGCAGGAACAGAACATGCAACTGTCAATCCAATGCCGAGACAATAAGGTTAAAAAACAACAACAAAGGATCTTCTTGTAGTAAGAGATACAAAAAATTCTATATGCAATTCCTTCAGAAGCCTGGTGACAAAATGGGTTCTGTCTGCTGTAGATGAGGAAGCACGGGGTTTGTGTGACAGGAAGATGCACAAGCAGTTGTTGCACAGATGGAGTCAATGTCTCCAGTCAGTTAAACCTTCTATCTTCAAGCCTCTTAGCTCTGCAGCTTCAAGGCAGCCTCTGTGCTGGCTTATTTATTGCAGGGAAGGCACAGGGAGGGGTAAGTGAAAGGGGAGGGGGATGTGGAAATAGAGGAGGAGAGACAGGATGATCAGTGTGTAGCTGTTACGATGAAGAATTTGAGTTCTCCTAAATTGTATCTTTATACGATTTGTGACTTTATTGCATTAATTATGCTAATGACAAACTATCTGGGATAAAAAATGATACATCAGATAAAGAAGTGAAACAAAACCATAGAAGCATAACGTTTATGCCGATAAGAAGCAAGTAGCCATTTATTATCTAAGATGTGCAGCCTTAATTAATATATTCAGAAATTGCTTTAACAGTAAGACATTGAGAATTGTCTCTTTTCGTGTATATCCTGTCTCCTTTTTATGGCTGTCTTGGAGGTTGTGCGTCTTTAACAAATACAGCAAAATGAAGTGGGAACTAAATATTAGTAGTTATTGATTTTATCTGCTATTGCTTTTTTCTCTTGAATTATGCATTTTGTGTGGCGTCGGCCACCTCTACTGAATGTCGTATCTATGTCTACACTACTTCTGTGGTACACTTAATGTTAGAAGAATGTCTATTCTAGCAAGCCTTCGGTCGGATACAGATGCTCCATATGGATACATGAATTTTAAACTAAAGCTTGCTATTTACTAAATCCCTATATGTACAGTACATTCAAATTGGGAATAAATACAGGATGGATAGCAGGCAGTTAAGTACATTAGTAAAGAAACAAAAAGACTATTATAAGACTCATCAAAACAAAGGGGATGGAATAGGTGTTAAGATGATGCATTACAGTATGCAAAACATTGGCAAGACAAGCCTTTTTTACAATGTGTCCATTAAATTTAAACTAATCAGATACTATTGTTTATCCTTCTGACTAATGATTTAATTATTACTTTGTAAACAATGGACACTGAAAAATGTACCCTTGAAAACCTCACAACTGTCACTAACAGATAAGACAGGCTGAAGACACAACACATTTTATCCAAACATTTCTTTAGTCACCAGTATATTTCTGTTTAATAATTTGGCATGTATAGAATTATATGTCAAGTAGATTTTTATTTAAAAATGATATTCAGGAATAAATGTGAAAACAACAATATATTCATATAGTTTACTCAACATATATGTGGTGCAATTTAATTATCCATTATCAGGCATTATCAAACACAACATATTACTTTAATGCCTTTGTGACAATAAAGTAAATTTAGATTAATATGCAAGATTAATCATTGTCTTATAACATTATTGCTAATGGATTCCAGGACTTGCCATTTCAATGGGTTTTAATATTATACATTTTCTGTTATATTCTATTACATGTTCACTGTGTTTACTACACTATTACCTGAAATGTGTACAAAAATGGCATAACAAATAACGTAGTTCATCCGGGGATTAGCACACATAAGAACATTTCTGTAAAAACACAGAGATATTATTATTTTAATTTATTTAAATTGCTTCATATATTGGTTGCAGTTGATGGCAAAATAGCTTACCAATGAAACATGTAAGTTATGGTATTATTCATTATTATTTATTAGTTTTTTTTTTAATTAATTCTAAATGAAAATAAGATGCAATGTGTACAGTCAGACTTCTCACCCATATAAGTCTAATGTTACTATCAACACATCCATTGTATAGGCTGCCCTTTTGCTAACCCCCAAACTGCATTTTTAAATCTCTACTAGATTTTATTTCTACATAACTAAATACATATAAAATGAAAATTGATTTTAAAAAAAAATGTACAACTTTATCTTGAATTCCCTTAAAACATTATCAAGGTAATTTTCAATTCAAATATACAAATATGTCAGAGAAAGTTGCTCTATATACATACACACACACACACACTCTCTCTTTCTCTCTCACACACACACACACTATATATATATATGTTTTGTGTGTGTGTGTGTGTGGTTTCTTTTTCTAGAAAAAGAAAACACAGTTGTATAAGATCAGGTCTATTCAGAAAAGGTCTTGCAAATGTAGTTGAGACAGTGATTTCTCCTTTTTGGGAGGACTCATGGTTTAACATCATGTGCAGTTAAATGCAAGGCATCTATAGGTTAAAAGATGCAAAGGGTGTGCCAGTAGAACACTGTGAGCAGCATTACAAATGTCACCTTTATAAAGTAAAGGAGGCATGAAACAGGCTTCCTCTTCAGTTCATAACAATTTACTGCCTGGCACACGAACAAGACAAGCAGCAGTTAAAGATGATACCTTAACATAAACAATGTTAAACACCAAAGCCTCCATAGGAGTGAAGGTTATGAAAACAACCACTAAAATTATAATGCAGAGAGTTGACTAACTCCTAAGGCACTCTGTACATATATTCTGTATAACGACTGTTTAATATTACCAGAAATGCAATCTATGGATTACTTACCACCCAAACATTATAACAGATTTTAAATTGGATTAAAACATAGTGTTTTAAATTATAAGATTAGCTTTATCCTGAGTCCTTGCAAAGATGTTAAGTGTTCACCATCATTTATAGAGATCTTGTTATGGTTAGTAACTCTGTAAAATGTATCAGAACTATTTTTAGTTCTAGTATGTCAGGGGTACCCAAAAGGTAGTTTCCCAGATGTCGGAGAACTACAACTCCCATGAGGCTTTGCATGCCTTTAGAATGCTTTAGAATGACAAAGTGTCATGGGAGCTGTAGTTTTAAAACAACTAGGGGTCTCCATTTTGGGTACCCCTTTAGTATGTTCTACTACACAAGTTAGTGCCCTATTGCAGTCATTTTACAGTGCTGCACTGGTGTACCAAAAGCCACCTCTAACTTTGCTGCAAAAACACATTCATTTCAGGGCACTGGTGGGTTCAATGGAGTTTTTAAGTAAAACATTTTCAGTAAACATTTTCATTACATTTGTGATTCCTTTCTTACACTTCATTAAAACTAGTATGTATTGTTATTCTAGAAATATGCTCTCTGCATGTTACATAATCTCTAGTTAGAATGCAAGTAAATGTGAAACTTTTGATAAAGGTAAAAAATTGTTGAAGTGACTTAGAGATTTTTCTGTTATCTCAGAGTGCCATGGTTCAGAAGAAGCTAGAAACCAATGCTCTATGCCAGCGATGGCAAACCTTTTTGAGCCCTTTTGCTCAAACTGGAAACCAGCTTATATATTTTAAAGTGCCAACATTGCAAATAAGCATAAAAGCAGAAGTCGGGCTGTGTGTGATGTGTTCTGGCCCTGGGTATTTGTTTTACTTTAATAATAATAATATTATATAGAAAAAATATTTTGCTCCTTCTGCATACCTTTTTTTGGCAGGGAGGAGGCTATCTTCCCAGAGTACACATAACATGATGTGTCTCATGAGCCAGCAGAGAGGTATCTAAGGGGCACGATGTGTTTTTACTCAACCACTGTCTAAAACTACCAATAGATTATAATACGGGACAACATCTTACAGAACCCTATTGAAATGCTTCATTCTACATATTTAACCACAATAAAAACTACTTTTTCTCACAATTTGAGTGTCCTGCCAAGTTTAACAGCACATATTATAAAGAGGGGGATTCCAGCTCAAATGACAGCACAGGTGAGTTCTAACCAGTCATTTCTTCTCCTGACTACTGTGAATTGTGATGTGACAGGGGCTATTAGTCTGGTACTTTATTTAGGGTCCTGTGCAGTCTAAACCTTGCTCTACTTTAATTGCTGAAAGGATTATTCACAAAAGTGTGAATTGATAGAAATTCAAAGTGAATCTAAAATATTAGGCCTGGCGAGCCAAACTAAAAACATAGCTGACAATTTACAATTTAGTTAATACAGCCTAAAATTTACTGTGAATTCACATGCTTTAGTAAATAACCCATTGTGATAGCTGGCATTCTCTCATACCATTCGAAAGCTAGATATAAAATACACTTAAAGGGACATTGTAGGCATTGTAACTGCTTAATCTCATTAGAGGGGTTATAGTGTCTGGTATCCATTGGAGCTGTACTTCCATTTAGTGTTGAACTGCTGTTTTTGCTGGTTTAATGCTAAATGAGAGTCCTCAGCAACCCACACCCTCTGTGATTGCCTGAAATTGTCAGCTGACTGCATTCAGCCCAAGATAGTCACCCATTGGTACGACTAAGGAGGGGTTTATTTTGTGACTTAGCCATATCTCCAGTGAGAACCATGCTGTGGTTGCCAGGGACCCTCATCCAGTGTTAAACTAGTCGGAAATGTTTTTAACACTGAATGGACATTCTAGGCCGGGCATAGGCAACCTTTGGCACTCCAGATGATTTGGATTACACCTCCCATGATGCTTTGCTAGCACTATGGGCAAATGCATTAAAAATACACCTTATGTAAACCAGTTTAAACAGAAAATTTACTGAGCAGTATCCCCAAGAAACACACTTAAAACAGCAATTATTTATTTCAGAAAGCACTGGTTTATACCCACACTGGCTCACACACAGGCAACCGCAACGAGATAAGCTCAGCCAAACACCAGCAGCAAGATAAGTGAAATTATGGTGCTGCTCAGTATTATCAGTCTCAGCCTATTATGGGTACAAAAAAAGACACAAATGTCAAAACAGACACTGCAGGTTCAATGCAAGAAAAACACTGACATTTACCAGAAGGAAATGTTGTTTACAGAGTCCAATCTGCATCCATCTAAATGTATCCCACGTTTACATACATGCATCTAAGAGGAGCAGCAAGTGACTTGTTCAATCAGTAAAATGCCTGCAAGAGTTCCCTTAAGTCAGTGGGGTGTGAGAAACATTACTTTCATCTTTTCATTTACATGGGCTTCTTCTCAGCCCTAAGCAAATCACCTCACCCTTGTATCAGCTTATAGCAGCAACCGATACTGTGAATTTGAGTCAGAGACAGACCTTATAATGGCTTCATATATGCAGCATCACCAAAACAACTTTAGACTTAGAAGACAATCATTGTGGGCAAAGGCAGTCATAGGCCCACAATGGGCAAAGGCAGTCATATTCACTATATTCAAGTGTTGTAAAGTAGTTCAAATAAATTTCTAACCAGGC